GGCATTATGGAACAGTTTACCACGCGATATAAGGAACACAGAGTCTCTGGGGTTATTTAAACGTAAGATCAATGACACTCTTTAAGTCTAACACACGGCATTCACGGAAAACAGCTTTAGTGTTATAGTATGTAGTTTTAATTTTAAATATCTTAGCATATGTGATATGTATTTTTATAGGCTGATGAATTGATCGCGTCTAAATAAAGATTACAATACAATACAATACAAAACAATAATATCCCTTCACCATCTGTTTTCATATTTGGTAATAAAATAAGTGCACTGAAAGCCATCACAGATCAGAGAAAATTGAGGTTATATTACATACTGTTCATATTTTCTGGAAAAAATTTTAGTTGGCCTGAGCATAATATTTTTTATCAAAATTTTGAGAATACGTTTAGTCCAATGACTTAAACCACCATTATTATATTTCCAATGAAAACTCTGAATGAGACTTTGGAATGAGACTGTAAGGTTCCCCCTTTGTTCCCATTTGGTGTATATATATATGTCTCAATTCAACAATATAAACACTGTCACGTAATTGCAGAACTGCTTTTCTATTAGGCACAATTTAACCATATTTGTTCTTGCTAGATATTAAAATGAAAATCTTGTGCTTATTTTATTGATACATGTAGGAATATGTTTCATTGTTACAATGCATGAGTTACATTGTATGTATCACTTGTGAACCAGTTGCACCCTTCTATCAAAAAACATTCCATAAATTTCTGATAAGATCTGTTTTTCAGTTCTCACAAATGATCCAAACAAGATTATCAAACCCAAGATATTAAAATCACTGCTGCCTGGAGACAAGATTTGTAGTAAATTATCAATTTCCCAGCATTACTTTAGAACACCTGTCGTGACACTCCTACACAAATAACCCAGACTACAATTGTATTGTATTTGTACAAAAACAGCAAAAAATATTTTTCATAATTTAATTTTACACTGTTTCTCCAACAGAAACGTTCGGAAAAACGTCATTTTGAGTAACCATAACGCTACTACCATGTAAAGGATAAATAAAAAGAAAAAAAAAGAAGAGAGATCGCGTGATATTTTAGAGCCTTTGGCCCGCGAAGGATTAATCTAGCTCGTTCATATCACCGCAGAAATAACTGGAAAACACAATAGATTACAACTCAATAGAGTCTTATCGATATTTCAAAAACAAACTTAATAGCCTCAACCACTTTTGGCTAACCAAACCTATATCGATTGATTTTCGCCATAACATCTTTTGCTTTAAAATTCACCAGAGTCCTCCCGTATGCTTGCCATCTTTAAGAACTTAAGCTTTAATTTAGAGTAGTAGTTTCGACTGCATACCAAATTATTACACGCACAAGCAGGTAATCGCAACAAATTCCTTGAATTTTCCCACAAATAATACCAACTTTACAGACCCTGTATAGATAATAATTTTTTTTCCGAGACAAGATGAAATCCAACTTCGGGTCAAAACTCATCAAATTTCAGAAATTGGCATGATCTCAAAGAAATATTACCTGTCATTAATTTTAAGCCCATGCATGTAGTTTGTCCGAGGTTCACATGCCTCAACAATCGTCTCCAGATCGTTCTTCTTTTTGGCTTCAGTGGCATATACTCTCATAAAAGGAAAACGAAAAGACTACAGAATAGTAAGCTTAAGTTGTTCTCCAATTGAGATCATTATCCAATCTACGTTACCTGCGAGTGTAAATAAAATGTTGGCCGTAATCTAATCGTGGCAACAATTAAAGAGGCAGGCAACTTTTCTGATTGGAACCTCGAGAAAACCTGGGAATGAATCTCAAATCAATATGGCCGACGAAGGGGGCCTAGAAGAATTGGAGAAAAAGATTGACTCTCTATCGCATCCAGAAATGATGGCTCTCTTCACTTGAAAAACTAGGAAAGATAATGGGAGGTACATTGCTTATTGGATTGCCAAATGAACTAACCTTCGATGAAGTGAACTCGTAGAGTGCACTGGAACATGGCCGCGCTATTGTTGTAAACGTTCGTCAGCACGATGAACAAGGCACTTTGCCACGTAAGAAGAACCTCAAATGTTTTCTAACGTAGAATTTTTAATCGTAGAACGACTGTTAATTATTGATAGAGAAATAGCATAAGAATATCAAAATAAACTAATATTAATTAGGAAAATATTATTATATATTAGACTTACCATGAAAAATTTAACTGGTCGTCGAGAGCTTTCAATCGATATGCAATAGCATATGAAGTTGACACCATAACCCAATATCTACAGCAGGTATTATATGCAGCATGCTCAGCAAGGTCTGGCTGCCTAGTTTCCAAGACCAGTTGTGTAATGTTCTCAAACTTTTGCAATTACTCCTAAAGTCCCTTATTTTGCAGATTGTTTTAAAAAGGTACATATGTATGATAAAACGATTATTGAATTGGGTTTTCACATGATTTGATGAATTGCCAAACCTTGTGTCTGTGTTATCTGCCTTACACTATGGCTTTGGCTGGCAATTCAGACCTTGGTTTTGATAAATCATGATATCATACCCAACCTCATCCAGTAATTTCTTATAGTAAGGATATACACCTGTGCTATACAGTAACGTGGAAAGTGCCTTTCTTGTGCACTGACAGGCTAAATCAGAATTCATTGCCAAGTACCATTTACCTCCGAACAGTCAAGAGACAGAATTGCATGTCAAGTGGGTCATTCCTGACCATGTTTTGGTATACCGATGGAAATAAACTAAATTTTTGTTTTGATGTGGTTTCTACTAATAATTAAAAACAACTTTTTACTCCAGTATAAGTAACATTGGTGGGCACTAATACCTCATCCCTTTGCAGATTGGTTCATATCCTCCACTATTAACTCTACTTTGGGGAATAATTATCAATAACTATGTTACTTATTATTAATTTAATTAACTCTTAAGGGAACTCTGATGGACTGCAGAGATGAAAGCCAAAAGAACAAGGCCAGGCTGTTCAAAAGCGGGTTAAGAAAACCCATGGTTAGTGTGAAATTTGATCACAGATCCGAGTGCTTTAAAATAGTTTGATGACTGAATGCTCTAAAAAGAATTAGGAAAATTATCCTAAAACAGCTTTTGAATAGAGAAATAATTTATAGAAACCTGGATTAAAATTTAACCCTGGGTTACCAGTAATCACTCTTTGAATACCTGAGCCCAGAATGTTATTTATTTGATGGTTCTATAATTATATGCAGTGTGTACATATACTGTTCTGCATTTTTTAAAACACCTTCAGCCGTAGTTGTCATCCAAAATGCAACAGTGCATGACTTAAAGAAGGCAATACAATGACACATCTCACTTAAACTTTCCAGGGAAGGAGGCCCAAATAGTGTCTCCCGGTAAGTGGATTTAAGAAATTTAATCATGTTCATTTTACCCAGTCAAGTGCTATTTTCTATAGGCAGGTTGTTTTCCTTTAACATTAATATCTCCTTCCAATGCTAGCTTTCAGTCCTCTGTACACTGCCCACAAAAATAAACATGAGAGGTAAAATATTTAGCCAAATTTAAGATAGTTTAAAATTCAGTGTAATTAAAGAAATTAGGTTAAATTTTGTCTAAAAAAAACCGGCCCTATTATTTTACATAGTTTGATATTTCTGACTGATTTAATCAGATAGCCATTATACACTGTACTTTCAAGATCAAAATATCAGCCTACCACTTTGTGTGTGCTATACATTGGTATGTTATTTTTACACTCTGTAGCCTTGAAAATTTGGTGTTGGATCAAACAACATACTCTAATTTTCATTTCATCTCATTACCTTTGTTAAATTGAAAACTTGTTGAATTTTATAGTAGAACACTCACGCTTGTGGCGAAGGGTTATAAAATAAAATAATATTAACTTGGCCTGTTCAACTTATATGCAAAGCTAAAACATCTGAGTATAGAGATACAGAAATTGAAATTCCTGCAGCATGGATGTATCTGATCAGTATGCAAGTGACTGCATGGTGACAACTTAGAAGTTACCACAATTTCAGTTTACGAGCCAAACTAGCAGGCTGGCTATTGGAAACTGAAAACCACTGGCCAAAACTAAATTTCTACAAGTCCGTGGCTAGTTGCGGCTACATGTACAGTTAGTGTTGAGTCCTGTAATTACATGACTTTTCTACTGCTAGTCACTTGAAATCTTCTGTTTGTTTTATATTGAAGCTGGGATGAGCTTCATTTAATGGTGAGCCATGAGGCTTGTAACTCTGCTCTCCCCTCATTTTATCTGTTAGACTAATAACTTATTATTAGAAACTGGATCATTGGATAATGCAATTCAAGACTTTTTTATTGGGGTAGCCATTACGGTATATGAGCCAATAACAATAATCTAATATCTTTACATTGTAACATGTGGTTTCTTCTTACAAAATAAAGTCGAGAAGATTTGTCTAACATCTTGGGGGCATTTTTTTTTTTTAATGAAACAATTATTATCCATAGGTATGCAGACTGGTATGGTAGATGATGATGGTGGTATAGTCTTGGATGACTCACGCCATAATACGGACACAAGCAGTTTATCTTTTGATGCAGGTATGAGTTTATCACTTATTATATAAGGCAAGAAATCTCGGAGATTTGATTGGTTGACAGCGATTCACCATTACACTGTAATTGTAGTATAATGGAAAAATTGATGGTATAACAAGGTTACGAATGACAACACGGTAAGGAAAGATTGTTACAAATGCTGACGCCTGTGTTTGTCTTTCCAATTGCAACAAAATAAAGGTCTCCTGTATGTGCATTACCAAAATTTTCTTGACTTCTATTATAAACAAATAATAGCATGACTTATGGGTGGTATTTGTCAATAATACTGGCCCATTATCAATATTAATTTTCAAAATTTTCCAAATATCATGCACTCACCCCTTCATGGTATGCCGTATTTTGGACAATTTTGGAAGATCACTTGAAAGTGGTTAATTACTCCAAAATTAAGTGACCATGGTGACCACGAATCATGCTATTACCTACTATATTACCTAGTACAGCTAAATTATAGATACTTACCAGACTGTGATTGGATGCGTTGATTTGTAGCAAGTATAGTTCTTCCCTCAACCTCTGTATTCATGGAACCTCATTACATGCCAAGCTAAGTAATATAATTATAATTATAGTACTAGTAAAAGAAATTTCATTCCATGTAATAGATGAAACTTCTTTAAAGATTTATGATGGCAACTTAACAGATTCAAAACTTTGTAAAAAAACCTTTACCAAAGAAAAAGTATGGGAGTGATATGGCAAAACATGGGCCATATAATGACCCATATCTGGGAATGGTATGGGAAGACTGGGTGAAGATATGGAACTGGTATGGGGTTCAACATATTGATTCCAAGGACAGCTCAAGCCAGCTTGTGTGTTCTAGTGAGTATGCAACTCGGGTGTTTTACTTGTAACACTCTAATATATTTGTTTGAAATAATTAAGTTGAAATAAGACCAGAAGTTACTTCTAAAAGAGCTCGGGTAGGTGAATGGTTTAGCAATGGGGTCTGCAGTTTGCAAAGTACTTGATGTAGACTATTATTAGCAAAAGGGTATTATAATATATTACAGCTTCAAATTTTAGCATTATTGTTTTTTTTTTAATTATCTCTTAGGAAGAAACCCTGAAAAAATTTCACATCACAGATGATCCCAGCAATTATTACCTTGCGAGAGATGTTGATGAAGGTGAGATAACAAGGACTCTCAAGTTCAAAATCTCCATTCTCTTCACTGTCTGCTTTACATTCTTTTAGTTATAACTTTATCCTTGAGAAACTGCTTTGAAATCTGTCTCAGTTTGACATGTTTTTCCCTCTCCTCACCTTTCTGCTGGTCCTCATATCACCTTTTGTAAGGAAAATTAACTTTTGATCACTCTCATGAGCAAAAAGGTTGATTTCTTTTAAAAATGTGATTGAAATAATCCATGTTTACAAGATGCATTTGTTTTCTACAAAGTCCTCTAGAACCAGCATATTTTGGTCTTTTAATTTTATCATTAGTTTTTATCTCTTGCTGTTTAAAGAGAAGGAGCATGCCCTTGATCCTGAAGAGAAACCTCATCAGTTTGTGGTAAGAAATTCATCCAAACCTTTAATCTTCCTTCAAATGAAGGTTAAGGATTGTAGTGATCATAATTATTGGCCCAAGAAAGTGTTCTAAATATATTCAGGTTGATGTGGTTTCAATTACATTTAATTTACTGTCACATTGACAGGTTTTTAGCAGAGGATTGACTGATATACCTTGTATAATTATCTTGCACCTTCTCCTAAACCAGTCAGATGCTAACTAGATCACATGATATTACTATTAACCCTTTACACCCCATCACCCATACATCAGTATGCATATTCTCCATACTGTTCTCTATACATTTCTTATATTCCTGTCAGGGAGAGTTTGCTTATCAATCAAGAGCTTTTGTAGTTGTTGATCATTTCTGTTATTCTCCTGACCTTAATTTTTGAGTCAAGGGTGATACTGTAAGGAGAAATTAGATGCTAATCACTCTTAGGGTTAAAGGGTTCATATTGTTGGATATGTCCATTTTACTACTGCAACAGTAACAGTGTATGTAATACTTTGTGTTCTTCTTAATTATTACCATGTTAATTTATTTCTGGATATTATTTTTTTATCTTATTTTTACCTCACACTTTTTGTTCTTCTTTTCCTTTTTGTTTTTCTTCTTTCATTTGTAGTCAACTACCCAAAATCTAAGTATTACTGTTTGATTTATTTAACCAGTATGTTACCCAGCCTGATTAGCTTTTTAGTTATTCTGAGTCTACTAGCCATTCCCTTTCCTAGCTGTCCTCCTATCATA